AGATAGATAGATAGATAGATAGATAGATAGATAGATAGACAGACAGACAGACAGACAGACAGATAGATATTATACACACCTACACACACACACACACACACACACACACACACAAGCATGCATACATATCTGAGATAGAAACTAGGACAAAGCTGAGATATAAACTCTAGAGAAAATCGAAAAGGAGCAATAAGAGATAATGAAACTCAAGTAAATGTTATAAGTTAGAAAAAAAAGTGAGGTAATAAAAGACACTTGAAGCTTAGATTTGAGTGAAAACGTAGTTCACAAGATTTTGATAACAGAAAGACCCCGTTCACAAGAATCTATAATCTCCTACATAAACTTGTGACTCTTCTCAACCTAATCTATCACACAAACCATTACCAAGAAAAGGGTAACACTCTTAAACCTCACTTAGCATTGCCAAACTTCTTGGAAGGATCTGAGTAAGATGAGAACATATTACCCATCTTATTATATATTATCTTCATATTACTCATGGATTTCTAAGAGGCTGACTAAGATGATTTCTGAGTCAAAACTGAAATGTAATGATGATCTAGAAATGATAACTATAGCACAATTCTGTTGAACAAGGAACTATTCTAAATTTATGATGTCAACAAAATAGTCAGATGGAAATAAAACAAGCTATACCCATCTGTACATTAGGAACATGGGGTTAAAAACCACACATAGCCAGAGGTGATTAAATTTACCATTCATTACCTTTTTAGCAGACTTACCATGGCTCTGTTTCTAGCCATTCCCCTAGGAGACAACGTAGAGTATGAGGAAATTCTTCATACAAGCCGTTGAACCGCTCCGGAGACATGGTGGAGACATAGCTCCACAGGGATGTGTTGGTGTTGGTCATCTGAAATGGTAAAAACCAATGTTCATTATTGCAATACATCACACAGAAGGTGTTACAAGATACGGTGTTGACTAACACTTCATTTCCTGCCTGAGGGGTCTTTTCCACTAATTTGAGTCCAAAACTAGTCCCAATGCAAACATCAAATAGTTTTTCATACCTCTCTAGATGTATTAGATGGGGGCAGGGCCAGTCAGAGGCGGTATTTACAGGCCCTCCAAACTAATCAAAATTTCCTCTACCAGTTCTCCAGAACTGGTCAGAATCTGCTGAATACCACCTCTGGATCTCATTCAGGAGAGAAAGAAAACAGTAGAACAATCTAGCTAAGTTTGATACTGAGCAGGTAGGATGCAGCCAATAGGCTACAATTTGGCTGAAGCTTCCTAGCTTCTTCATCCTTAGCAGAATGAAGTTAATATTTACAGTAAAAGCAGAAGTGAAACCCAGTTATAAGATCTGGATCTTCTTTCAGGCCTTTGGCAAGGGTGAATGAAGGCTCTCTTAGATTGCCTGAGTTTCTTTCTTTTTTGTAACAGTCTGTTTTGCCCCACCTTTGTCATCTCTTATTCTTTTAGTTTTGCTTCTTATTGTATGTTTAAAAATGAATTTACATGTGAGTGGCACAGAATCATTGAGAGTCAGGTGACAAATTTAACAAGTAAATAAATAGCAGATTATTGCCTCTGGCAATTGAAAAAACCACTGTCCCACTTTATACCCTCATGGGTTTAATTTGGAGCTTTTCTCTTCCCAGTGTTTTCATGGCTTAATTGAAAACCCACTTGATTTTCCCATAGTCAGTCCTAAATTGCTGTTGTTGGTTTACATTCTCAACATCTCTTTCCCAGAAAATTCCAGCTCCTACCATATGTAGAAATTTAGCACCCACCTCTCTCTTTGAAGAATGAAATATTTTGAGGAATATTAAAAAGGCAGAATATTATATTTCTCTAAATGAGAAATGGAGTAACATGTTTTTTTAGAGGCAGGAAGCAGACTCACTCTTAATACCTCCCCTCCCCCAGATATTTTATGCCCATTAAGAAAGACTGGACCAGCCTATCTAAAAAACAAAAGATCTTCAGCTCCAGGATGATGGGATTATTCTTCAGGACGTAGTAAGATTTAACAATTTAGAAAGTTGTTTTGCCAGAGTTTCTAAGATTCCATATTTTACCCTAAATCTTATCATTAAAGCATCTTATATAGAACCTTGCAAAGCATGATTCTTCCAATATAGTCTGGACACCTAGAGAGACTGTACTAATGTGTAAAGTGAAAGGAGTTTGGGCTAGAAGTTAAAGGTTTTTTGCAGTAGCTCCCACCAACGCTGCCCCTGGAAGTATCCTTAGTTTCAACCCTTCTTGTATTCCGAATGACTGAAAATAGTTTTTTCCTTAGTAAACTTTTGGCTCATACTATAATTGTGGGCCACGCTCTCATGTCGCTGGGAGCCTGGGACCATTGAGTTTTAATGAGGGGGGGGAACTGGGCATAAATTGCTTTTGTTTTTTGTCTTGTGCATGGGCCAGAGTCTTAATCATTGAATATCTTCTGTCAAATCTGTTTATCTTATTGTTAGGATTTATGTACCTAACCAAACTGCTAGGTTCAACATGAATGCCAAGAAAATTAGACTATGGCTTAGCATGTGGAACTGAATCACTGAATGTCAAGTGCTGAACTGCAGCCAATTTGTTATTTATCTTTGGGGCATTTTAGAGAAGGGAAATGCACTTTCTCCACCCACCGTGAGTTGGCAGAAAGCTATACTGCTGATTTCTACCCTATCTCTCATCGTTCCCATTTGCTGGCAGCCACCCTGTAAGGCAGAGGTTCTAAAACTAGGGGTTTGGATGCAACAACTGGAGGAACGTCACAATAAATAAATTAAAAAGCCTGATCAGGTTTGCAGGCAAAGCAGAAACAGTGCCCTGGGCTTTGTTTTCCATTTTGCCTACATGACCTTGAAAGAAATTATAGTCCTGTAATATTTGAGACCCCTGTTGATAGTCAGATTATGCTTTAATCATTCAAAATAAATGGTAGTTTTATTTCACACACAGCCCTATCTCCAGTGAAATCCTTAGTTTTATCCTTTTAGGAAGTTGAGTCCTGCAAAGTTTGAGAACTGTACTCAAAGGCAGTAGGTGGCAAAAATTTTGAGGCTGTCCTCGGATGATGTTAAAAGAAGGGGGAAATACAACTATGCTACTAATAGATTGTTTTATATGCTTCTGGGTTAGAATTAGAACACTCTTTATTAACCAAGTGTGATTGGACACACAAGAAATTTGTCTCCAGTGCATAAACTCTCAGTGTACATACAAGCAACAAATTGGTAAATCATATATCATAAGATACAATTGTAAATCATAAGATACAACCAATAAAGTGATAGTCATAAGACACCAATCGGAGTAGCTAATAGGAAAGGGGAGAAGGATGATAGTAATACAGTCCTACTACACCATTAGGTATCCTTAGGCATAAGACAGTGCTGTGGGAATTACACTAAGAACTCGATATATTGAACAAATTGAGGTACCTTGTAAGGGTGATGCTTTTATCTGACTGCTGACTCTCTGTATTACCATACATGTATTTTATCACTGTATTTTCTTTTATCTATTTTTATCCCGGAATCAGATCGTGTATTTTATTTATTTGTTTATTTTTATTGATTTGGTTGTAAGACTAATCAATTAATAAACTATCACCATTACTATACAATGTCATTATAGGTGAAAATGGCTAAAATAATGTCTCATTCCCAGGCTGGGAATGTGAAAGTCAGGACACACAGGAAAAAGGGTTGACCCAGAGAGTGAGGAAATGCAGAGAAGGAAAAGCTCTGTGTATCTAATTGTTGTAAGGAAGCAGAGACATCAGGCAGAAGTACACAGGGAACTCAAGAGTTATCCAATGCTCTCAGTTGTATGTGCAAATTAGGTTTGTTGCATCCTCTTATTTTCATCTTAATCTCTTCTGCTTCAGCTCACTTCTACAATGCATCTCATGATCCATTAAATCCCACTGTGGTTTGAGTCTCCTTTAAAATGGAGTGACTTTTCAAATATGTTAAGTATCATATGTATGTGCAGCATACAGGTATGACTTACAGCAGTTCATTTAGTGAGCGTTCAAAGTTACAACAGCTCTGAAAAAAGTGACTTACAACCACTTTTCACCCTTATGACTGTTGCAACATCCCCATGGCCACATGATCAAAATTTGACTGTTTGGCAACGGACTCATATTTACGACAGTTGATGTGTCCTGGGGTCATGTGATCCCCTCTTGCGACTTTCTGACAAGTTAAGTCAATGGGGAAGCCAGATTCACTTAATAACCATTTTACTAACTTAACAACTGCAGTGATTCACTTAACAACTGTGGCAAGAAAGGAATAAGAATTCACTTAACAAAAGTTTCACTTGGCAACAGAACTTTCGTCGCTGAATTATGGTTGTAAGTCAAGGACTTACAAACTGTAAGTCACTTTCTTTTTTACACCTGGCATGGAGAAAGTGCTAGTGGCATTACTGGTTTCCAATGATGTCAGCAACCAGGGAGCCAGGATCCTAGAAAAAAGATCCAAAAAAGATTCCAAGTGTCCTTAAAATAAAACTTGTCCGTTTTGTTTCTATTGTGTATCTGTCTCTTAAATCTGAGTTCAGTTCAAACTAAAAAGCATTCAATTTGAAGCTCTAAAAATTCACGATAGAGCTCCTGAAATTTAACCATTCCTCTTCAACTATTCATAGAAAAAATGTAGTTCTTTCTCTATTTTTGTCTTTTCTAGTCTAGGGAACATGACATAATTGTTTGTACAAGTAGAAAATGATGCTGCCAAGTTGTAATACGAATATTTAACAAATCCGTAGTGACAAAATGAGATACAGATGGAATAGGAATAATGATTCTTATTCCAATGCTTTCTCTGATCCCATTGCTCAACCTTGCATTGTACCTTCTGAGGAAAAGGATTTTCATGTTGTCCTATAGCAAAGTCTGATAACCGCCGATAGCTCCCAACTAGCCATGCAGAACTCGGAGAATGGAGGTATTTAGTTAAATTTCTAGCAACTAAATATTACTGGTGACAAATAGCCTTCAATTGCTTGTATATGAAGCAGGGTAACTGCAGAAATAATTAAAAATTCATGGTAATGAAATTCTTATTATGGAACTAACCTAAGGTTTGTCAGATCCTGCAGTATTTCCCTATCTCTTCTCTCATTTTATTACAACAACAGTGAAAATAAATTAGGGAGGGGGGAAAAACAGAACAGCTGCCTAATGCCCTTTGACTAGTATGAAGCCATCTGCATTGAATTTTGATAGAGGAAAGGCAAACAAGAAGTCGGAGTTTGCACTGAGGCACCAATAAAATTTTGCTCACTCTGTTTTGAATTGCTGGGCTGTAAAAAAAATTCAGAGTTTCCCCATGTGCTTTTGATTGCATCAGGGAAATAAGGAAGCAAGCAACACTTGTTTCTCTCTTGCTTATTTCCCTTTTGCTACAATGGGGGGAAAAGATTGGGAAGAAAAGCAACAAAAGTTGCAGCACAGCAGCTTTCCCAAGTTTCCTCCGCTCTCTGTTCTCATTTGACCAACTTATTAAGCAAATCATCAGGTTGTACTGCCCCTTTTCCGCCTTGTTTACACTGACCTTGTCAACCTTGGTCTTCTGCAGACTATTTTTTTTAGCTCTAAGCCTGGCCTGACTTTCTGGATTTATCTGTGTGGTCTTCCTTGCCACAGTAAGTCGAAAATGAGGAAGACGTAAGTGCTGAAAATAGCATGCAACACCCAAAGAAAAAGCCACGTCAATAGGCTGCGTTTTGTTTACTGTGCAGCTCAGAGTCCACCAAAGCCTAGGCAACAACTAGCAATGATAACAATAACTTGTTAGGTTCATACGGTGACCAAATCAGAAAGACTTAAATTGGCATACGCTTTGTAGGAAATACCAATATATTGAGGAAATATCA